ATCCCTGTTAGAACACTGGGTCCCACCCACTGTGCACGGTGACCTTAAGGTCCCTGTTAGAACGCTGGGTTAAGTTACAGAGTAAGATCTTCCCTGTGTTGGGTGATCAGCTCTGTACCGACTACAAAAGCTGCCCATTGCTGGGAACTTCCCAATATGAGTTGAAGAGATGGGTGGCAGCCAGAGAAAGCATAAAGCAAGCAAACAAACACAAAGGTTAGAGAGTCCTTGCAGCTCTCCCAGAGGACGTGGGTTCGGTTCCCACCACCCACAAGTCCACATGGATGTGCCCATCTGTTGACATCCTCTCCTAGCCTTGGCCACAGGCACACACATAGTACATAGACACATATGAACATATGCACATATACACGCAGCACATATACAGATATACACACGTGCACATATACATATACACATAGTACATATATACACATACATAGCACATATACACATATGTCACATATACACATAGCACATTGACACACAGCACATATACACATATGCCACATAGACACATAGCACATATACACATATGCCACAAAACACTCATATCATAAAATAAAAATAAGTAACACCATTTCCTATATCTCCTTTCCTTCTCTCTTATTTGTTTGTCTTGGTTTTTGGTTTTTTGAGACAGAGTCACATTACACAGCCTTGGCTGTCCTGGAACTCACTACGTAGGCCACACTGACCTCAAACTCGCAAGATCTGCCTGCTACTGATTCCCAAATGGTGGAATAAAGGTTGCACCACTATGCTCAGCTGTCCTTTTCTTTTTAAAAATATTTTTTAAAGTTTCTATTATGTGTTTGTGTGGCTGCATAAACAAGAGCTGAAGAAGTGCAACACCAACAGACACACTAACGTGGAAGAGGTTATCTCACTGGCCCCATCCTAAACAAAAAACTACAGGCAACTAAGGAATTGAGAGTAGGAGCAAGAGTTTTCCCCAGGATGAGCCCTCAGACTTTGCTATCCAGTACCAAGTGGTCAGACCTGCATGCAATAATACACACAGGTAACACCAAACAAACTGAGCAAACTGCATTCACATATTTATGTGTGTGTGTGTATGTGCGTGCATGTGTGTATATGTGTGTGCATGTGCATGTATATATGTGTGTGTGCATGTATATATATGCGTGTGCATGTGTGTATGTGTGTGTACGTGTGTGTGAATAACAAAGGAAAGGAGACCATGAATTTGAGAGGAAGCAAGAAGAGCAGGACATGGGAGGAGTTGGAGAAATAAAAAAGAAAGGGAAAGGAATACAATTATAATTTAATTTCAAAAGCTAAAAGCAACAAGGAAATAAATAAAGCTATGAGTGACAAAAATTCAAACATACAATAAATTCCAAATAACTCAATAAAATAGGAAACTGGAAAGATCTCATTTTATAAGAAAAACATTATGCGTGTGTGTGGATATCTCTGGGTGTGTGAGCATAAATGTAGTATCTGCAGAGACCAGAGGCTCCAAATCTCCTCGAGCTGCAGGCAGCTACTGGACCCTGGACCCCTCTGGAGCTGGAGTTACGGATGTTATGAGCCATCTGGAATGAGGACTGGGGACCAAACCCATGCCCTCAGCTCCAGTCCTCTGGGCCACTCTTCCTCCTCCTCACTGAGTGTTGCACAGTCTTGAATAAGACAGAGCACTCTCTCTGGCCAGGAGACAGAGGCTGTGAGGGCACTCACACCGTGTGACAAGCCCTGGCATCTAAGGGTACTCTAACGCAGCTTCCGTCTGCCCAATGCCCATCCTGTACTCACTTCAGTATTCCATCAGTACAGCCTGACAGCGTCACATCATTGGGATTCAAATTTGGTGAGCTGGCAAAAGAAGACACAGTCACTAAACACCAAGATCAATGCCTGGAACCAGGTGTGGTGGCTTACACCTGCAATCCCAGTACCTGCCCTACGAAGACAGGAAGATAGCAAGTTCAAGACCAGCCTAGGCTACATACCTAGACTCTACTTCCCAATACCTTAAGATAGACAGTTCATCTGTGTATAATAGATTTGTGACCTAGAGACATATCACTGAGGGCACCCAATCTTGTCTTCTTTAATAGAATTATGTGTCCAGAGTACAGCTCAGTATTAGGATGCTTGCTTAGAAGGAGCAAAGCTTCCAATAGCACAAAGGAGTAAAAAGGTCCTAGAAACTCAAGTTTTGTAGAATAATAAAGCAAGAAGATAGAGATGGGAAGTATCAAATAAGCAAGACTTTGGCAGGAGAGACGGGAACTACAGATCACTGCCTCAGACACTGGATAAGAGCGAGCAGCGTCCTTACATGTACTGTATCTTCTGCAGGAGGACACCAGCAAAGAGGCACTTGGGATTCACATGCTGCCAGATAATCTCTTTGGCTACATTCAGCACATCGGTATCCATCGTCCCACCAAACAGGATGACCCTGTCAACCTAGAAGATGAAAAGAGGAGGCTGAGACCCAGGAACAAGGCTAGAAAAAGCCTGGGTGAGCTCAGAGCAACAAGATGTCTAAAGAGTGAAGGGGAAAGGAAGCTGCAGCTCCTAAGACTGCTCAGGAGGGGACATCGCTACACCCCAGCTTAGGGCAGCAACAGAGTAAGGATGCAGGGATGGTAAGAAAATAAAGAGGGGGTGGGCAGTGTTCTGTAGCTCATGCAAGCTCAGGAGAGATGACTGCTCATTTTGTGAGCCAGTTTTGTCTGCTTGGTTTGGGGTTTTTGTTTTGTTCTTCTGAGACAGGGTCTTTCTATGTAGCTCTGGCTGTCTTGGAGCTCACTATGTAGACTAGCCTTGAACTCACAGAGATCCTCCTGCCTCTGCTGGGATTAAAGGTGTGTGCCATCATACACGCTGAGAGTCTGTTCTTAAGCTTGGCTATTTTATATTTATTGGTGCGGGCCTTGAGCATACTGAGCTAAGTACGTCCCCTGCATGTCCAGTCAACATGGCCATTTCAAGCACTCAGTTGGATAAATAAGGGCTGTGAGTATAGTTCACAGTTAAGCACTTGCCCAGACTCCGGTCCTCAACACTGCAATATGTCTATTATTTTTCTCAAAATGCATCACCTTCTAATTACCTCAGTACATTTCGCTATTCTCGGTACTGTGGATTCACAGCAACGACAACCAGCTGAGCATTTCTGTGCAGCTCCGCACGCAACGACACCGTGCAGGGTGAACCAGTGACCACTGCTAAACAACCCTCTCAGTGTCCGTTTGTCATTAAAGCACTGTCAGCACAACCCTGTCTGAGGGGCTACACTGAGCCGACGAAATGCCGTGTTGAAGGGTCAAGACATGAGAAGCAACCAGACACCTCTCTGTAACCGCAGCACTGGGGAGGTGGAGGCAGGAGGATGAGGTGTGGAAGACCAGTCTCCTCTACAGGAGACAACAAACGTGAAGAACGGGTTGTGGAGGAACTGCTAGAAGGGAGGGTTTCATAGGAACTGAGCAGGACTCACGGGGGTCCTCTGGACAGCCAGAGACAGCAAGTACTTCCCAAAAGTGTCCATGGACCAATCATCGTTTTCCTCCAACTCCTGATGGAGAGAAACCCGGGTTAGAAGGTCGGGGCCAAGGGGTCAGTGCTCTGCCCCGGATGCACTTCAAATCTGCTGAAATCTGATCCCACGACATTGGCAGGTGAGGCCCAGAGAGATGTCCTTGGCTGTCAGGGAAGCACTCCTGGAACAGTCTGAGGTATCTCTGAGCTTCTGCAAAAATAGGTTGTGAAAACCTGAACCTGAACCATAGCTCCCCCTCTAGCTTGTTTCAGGATGCAGCCCTTTTCTTCTTTCCACACCCCCCCCCCCCCGCCATGAGATCCTCACCTGAGTCAGCCAATGCCAGTGCCAGCCTCAAGCAGGGAGAAGATAAACATCTTCCCTCTATAATGGCAATGACAGACTAATATAATCAATAAAAAAGAAAAAGAAAAAAAAAGTACTGTCGATTTGTTTGAGAAATCTTCAACGTTATGTATAGCTGTGATTCTTCTTACTTTTTCTTTCCCGAGACAGGGTCTCTCTCTCTATGTAGTCCTGACTAGTTTGGAACTCGCTATACAGGTCAGGCTGGCATTGAACTCACAGAGCTCTGCCCGTCTCTGCTTTTCAAGTGCTGGATTAAAGGTGTGCGCCACCATGCCCAGCATATATGCTTTTTAAAGAAAAAGAGAAACCGCTGTGCCTCCCAGGCTGGCCTCTGCTCCTGCTCTCCGAGCGCCGGGTCGAAGGCACTCACTCTGGCGCCTGGCTCCCTTACTATTTCTGACCTGGACTTGAGCCTGGAGTTTGATGGCGGTCTTCAGGACACCTTCATCTGTCTCAAGGACTGGTATCTTCACAGCTCCTCTTCCACACAGCAAGACAGTTGCCTGCTCTGCCCGAGCCACCATCATCCCAATCAACAGCAGCACGTAGTTCAGGGGAGGCTGGCGGGGCAAAGCATCGGCATGAAATCGAACTTCAGAACCCACATCAGAGTCCTGCCCAAGTCAATACCGGGAAACAGCAAAGGGAATCTGAGATACACTTGTGACTGAAATTTACAGATCGTTCTTAGCTAACCGAACTTGAATACTAGCATTATGAGGTATAAGCAAGACTGACTAAAATTGTCTCAGGGAACCAATAACTGGCACTTGGAAGCAAATCCACGCCACTTCTTTCAGCCTGTGTGGCTCTCAGAGAACCAGAGGGAAACCAGATACTCTCAAGACCCTGCGTCCTGCCAGCCCTGTGGAAGATGTTTTTTGTTAGTTTGTTTGTTTGGTTTTTTATTTACCCCTTGTGAGTGACTCTTGGGACAGAGCCTGTTGGCGTTTGCATCTGTGAGATAGACCAAGAGGGTCCGGCCTGGTAGTGGGGCTAGGTTGTGCTTCACAGAGAGGTTAACAGCCGTTTCCAGGGCCTGGCGATACCGCTCCAGCAACTGAACATCACAATTCCACTGTCTACAGCAAGAAAAGACACAGACACGGGGCTCAGAAGCTCATTTGTCCGCCTGGGGCTCTGAAGCAGATGGCAAGACAGCAACGTGCCTCTCTCTCTCTCTCTCTCTCTCTCTCTCTCTCTCTCAGCACCGCCTCCCTCGCCCACTTCCACTGCTGCGCTCTCCCCTCCCCCAGCACTGCCCCGCCTCCCTTGCCCACCTCCACGGCTGTCACAGAAACTTTCCTCCCCCTCCCCAGGACTGGACGCCACTGCTGAAATCACCTGTCACGCTCAGCTGCACTTGCTTCAAGAGACATGCATGGCTTAACTGCTACAACTTTATTAGGGGGCATTATTTTTTCAAAATCATTTTACTATTTTGTGTGGATGAGTGCTTTGCATACATGTATGTCTGTGCAGTACTTATGTGCAAAGCCTGCAGAGGCCAGGAAATGGTACCAGATCCCCTGAGAATGGAGCTACCACATGGTGGGTGAGATTCAAACTCAGATTTTCTTTTTCTTTCTTTTTTTTTCTTTCTTTTCTTTCCTATGTTGTCCTGAAATTCACTCTGTAGATCAGGTTGACCTCGAACTCACAGAGATCCACCTACCTGCCTCCTGAATGCTGGGATTAAAGGCATGCACCACCACCGCCCAACTTCAAACCCAGATTTTCTGAAAAGCATCCAGTGTTCTTTTCTTTAAAATTTTTATTTGCAGTTTGATTTTGCTGTTGTTTTGTTGTTTCCTTTTATTAAAATGGATTATCTTTTCACATAATATAACTATGGTTTCCTCTGCCTTCACTCTTTCCAGATCCTCCCCACGTCCCTTCCCATCCAGATCCATTCCCTTTCTATTAAAGAACAGGCTTCTAAGATAATAATAAAATATAAGATGAAACAAGAACTAACTCACCAAAGTTGGACAACACAGACAGAAGGAAAATAGCCTAAGAAAAGGTACAAGAACCAGAGACCCACCTGTTCACACACTCAGAAATCCCACAAGAACACTAAGCTAGAAACCATAATGTAAGCACAGAGGACTTGGTGCAGACCCGTGCAGGCGCTGTGCGTGGAGTTCAGGTGAGCTTTGCTCACGATGATTCAGAAGGCCTTGTTTTCTTGGTGTGCTCCATGCTCTCCGACCCTTACACACTTCCGCTTGCTTTCCTGCAGGTTCCGGGCTCTGTGGTGTGTTCTTACCCACTGAGCCAGCCGTCGCTCTAGCCATGGGGTTTTATTTTCTAGATAAGCTCTCACCTAGACCAGGTGGCCTTCATATCCTCAGGCCTCCACTTCCCAATGCAGATGAAGGAATCACTTTTTAGATTTCCAGGTAAGAAATACAACAGAATGACAGAAAACTCATTCTCCAACTGCCAATAACACGGTCTGGCTAAGGCAAAATCGTCAATGAAAAAGCCATCAACTACACCAAGGAGTTTGGCTGAACGTGCTGGCACACAACTGTGATCTCAGTACTGAGGAGTCTGAGGCAGGAGGCTGCACATCTGAGACCAGCTGACACAAGTTCAAGCCCCCGACTCCCCACAACACACATCAGGTGGTTCACACCCACTTCTAACTCAGCATGCAGCAAGAGACGATACACATTCAGACTCCATCTGAGCCAATGAGATCATCTCAAGTGACAAAGAGGAAGCTGGTAAAGTTTGGGTTTCGTAATTTTCATAGAACGAAGTTCAGTGTAAGTTCTAGCGACTGGGTTTTGGTGTAAAAGTGACAGGAACACAATGGGTGCGCAGCACGGAATTCCGGAAGCGTGAATGTCCAGAAGGCAATGGATGCCGGTCCCCAGATGGCTCCGCAGCCTGTCCCCGCGTTCCTCTGTCCTGCCTTTCTCCCAGCTAGCAAGCACTTACCTGGCCTTGCGCAGCCTCAGCTTCTCCCGCTTGAGCTGCTCGTACATCACAGGTATAGTCATTGCTGCCCGAAGCTGCCGGCGCGTCAGGGTGCGTAGGTAACTCCGAACAGTGCGCCTCCTGATAGTTTTTGGGTTTGTGATCACCCGCCTCATCAGCGTTGTGTTGGAAGGGAAGGGCAAGGCTGTGTGTGACAGGAAAACATCCAAATCAGGCAACTTCTGTTAGCTCAGTATTCTAAACCCCTATCCTTAGGGCTGGAGAGGAAACGGCAATCGGAGGAGAAAGAATACCTTTATTTCTGAGTTGGGCCTCAAGTTTATCGATAGAATCGTGAGCATTAAGGAATCTGAACGGAAACTGCCGACTGTGAACCACAGATTTCTGAAAAACAAGGAAAAACCGCGAGCAAAGGTCCAGGGAGGACGAGGGCCGCGGGGCCTGCAGGGCCAGGACTATGAAGCAGTAACTCTACTAGGCTTGTAGGAGGGTAAAGAGAGAAAAATAGATCTCAAGAAGGAACAGGTAAAAGGAAAAAAAGGTATGGAAAGCAGTTAAAAAGAAGATATAACAGGAGCCCCATTTCTTTCTTTTTATTTTTTATCATTTATTTATTCATTTATTTATTTATTTTGGCTTCTCAAGATAAGAGTTTCTCTGTGTATCATTGGCTGTCCCGGAAGACACTCTATAGACCAGGCTGGCCTCAAACTCACAGAGATCCATCTATCTCTGCCTCTTGAGTGCTGGGATTAAAGGCATGTGCCACCACTGCCTGGCTTCTTTTTATTTTTTTAATTAAAAAAATAATTTATGTGTATGATATATATGCATAGCACATGCATGCAGTACCTACAGAGGACAGAAGAGGGCACCAGAACCTCTCGAAATGAAGTCACAGATGCTTGTGAGCAGCCATGTTGGTGCTCGGACTCCAATTCAGGTCCTCTGGAAAAGCAGTGGTGTTCTTACCCCTTCAAGCCATCGTTCCAGCCCCAGAGCTGCATTGTTTTAATGCTATGCTGCCCCTGAAGTGAGCTAATTCATAGATGGGAACCTTTTTGTATGTTTTTGAGTTTGCAGAGTAATCACAACAGTTATTACTCTCTGTGCTTCTGCACCCGCTACACCCCACACTCACCTCATGCTGGAGTCTCTGCAGAACCAGCTCGTGGTGGCGGGCACTGATCCCAGTTCGCAGCAGGTTACACAGGTTCCGGAGCATGGCCATGAAGGGGAGTTTCCCATTGTCTTCAGACATGGGGGACAGGATAAAGTTAGTGAGTAACAGACACAAACTTGCAACCACAGTAGGAAACACAGAGCCACGCAGAAGCTCAAACTGGAGAACGCAATGAGTTCTCCTCAACACTGAGTCGCCTGGAGCAGACAGTAAAATCGACGGAACTCTGCTCACGGGGTAGCCGTTTCAGGAACAACTTGGGTCGCTACCATCGGCTCCAGCTGTGGCCCAGCTAGTAACGAGCATCCCTTTTCTTCACCCACCTGACTGAGGGCGACAACTGACTGCTGTAAGCTGTGCTCTGACCTTCCACACAGCTCCTCTGTGGAGCTCTGACTGTCCTGGAACTCGCTCTGTAGACCAGACTGGCCTCAAACGCAGAGATCCACCTGCCCCTGCCTCCTGAGTTCTGGGATTAAAGGAGTGTACCACCACCACCACCTGGCTTATTTCTTTTTAAAATTATTTTGATTCGTGTACATGTGTGTGTGTGTGGAAGCATGCTCCATCACAGATGGTTGTGAGCCACCCTGTGGTTGCTGGGAACTGAACTCAGGACCTTCGGAAGAGCAAGCAGTGCTCTTAACTGTTAAGCAGCAGTATAGTAAATAGCAAAGCTCAAAATTCCAATCATTTTTGGTTATGCAAATTAGATGCACCATTTTGTGGAAATTTTTGACACGGGATCTACAATACAGAAGCATGAATGGGGGAGAGCGAAAAGGAAGATGGTGGTGGCCAAGGCCACCTACCTATGAGCTCCTCCCAGACACAAGCCTTGTTTCCCAGCAAGCTCAGCTCCCTCTCCCAGGTCTCTGGCCTTCGGAGCTTCATCCGCTGCCCGGCTCTGCTAGAATCCCACGGCCCAGGGAGGTGACTCCGAGAAAAGAGCTCTAGGTTGGACGGGTACCTGGGAGAAGAAAGATGACCCCATCGTTTCAAACGAGCCAAAGTTTGGCTCACAAGACTGTCTGCCTAAACCCATACTGCTAGGACTGAGAACTGCCACAGTCAGTGCCATGAATGACAGGGATGATCACGTGATGCATGTGTCTGAGACACAGCGTCTCACCTGTAGCCCAGCAGGGCCTGGACGAGCTGCGCGGGCTCATGGATATGCAGTCTCTCGACCAACTTCTTCAGGGTGAACCTCGGCAGACTTTTCTCCCTTGGTACTGCATTGTAAGCTGCTTCAAACTGTAGACACAGCCCAAGCACCATGGGGTTAGCTTCAGCCACAATTATGGGGACCAAAAATAAAAGCACAAGCCTGCTGTACCGTATCAGGAAGTAAAGCATAAAATGATTATATTCTGAGGTGATTTCATTCTCCAAAACCGATTTGACAAAGGGCAGAAGCAGCAAGGAAAGCCCTGAGGGGAGGAAGGACCTCCCAAGGGCAGAGCTGCATCTAAACACTGCAGCAGGGGCAGCTCCTACAGCCCCAGCCACGTGGGAGGCCACGGCAAAAAACTGCACAGCAGATCCCAAGCATGCAAGGCAGCGTGGCAGCATGGTAGGCGATCTCAAAACAGAAAAAGAAATAAACGTTAGTAGTTCTGTGGGTTCCAAAAGATAAGAAAGGAGAAAAACAAACAACAGATTTCTGGGGATCCCTGTGTTTTACTCATATAAGATTGAACTATCAGGGTTACTATGGGGCGACTAGTTTATAAAATAAGCAAGGCAGGGAATGAGAACAGAGAACATCCTTATTCTCTCAGAGAAGGAATAAGAAGGCAGCTCTTATATACACCATAAGCCTATAATAGTGGTAGCATCTGTTTGTCTTGAAAACTTTCTGTGAGTGGCTAGAAAGATGGTTCCATGCTTAAGAACACTGATTGCTCCTCCAGAGGACCTGGTTCAGTTCCCAGCGCCCACAGGGTGACTCACAATGTCTGTAACTCTAATCCCAGGGGATTTGGTGTCCTCTTCTCGCCTCTGAGAGCACCAGGCACACATGGTACACAGACATAAATGCAGACAAAACACCAGCACCATAAAATAAATAAATAAAAACTTTAAAAAAAAACCTTCATTTGTCTAACTGGATATGTCAGTTGTCAACAAAGTATAACAACAACGACAGAGATGAAAAAAATTCCTTCCCTTTATCCTCTGAACCAAACCTCATAAGCACTACTGAGCCTCCCCAGGTAGGGATAAGTAAGTGTTTACCACACTGGCTACGGGGATTTCTAAATTAATGGGATTCTATTTCTAAATGCAATTTCAGAGGGGATTGTGCGTTTGTACGAACAACTCCCAAGCAAGTGACTCACCACGATCTGATCATCTCTAAGGGGCCAAAGGCTCTTTGGAAAACATTTCCCTCGCTCTGAAAGCGGTCGTTCCGTTTTCTGTGGGGACAGGAGAAACAGTTTCAAACAGGGAAACAGAAGTTGCCCCTGCAGATTCCCATTCCAGCAGTCCTGAAAGAGTGTCACTACTAAACAGGAAGTGAGTTCACAGAGGTGACCCTGTTCTTTCTTGTTCTGAGCTCCACACAGGTCATCTGGACCTCTCTGGCTCCTTTGCTTTCGGATGTGTGAACATGCCGGATACTTCTGTGTGGGTGCCCCAAAGACCACCACGTTCTTTTATCCTTCCCTTCCCAGAGAAAAGGGGCTGTGACTGCCCAGGGCTGAGGCAAATACTGACTTGGGGACGGGGTGGCTGGCGGGAACGTTTCTTGGATCGGTGTTTCCGTGGATTATACTTAGCTAGCTGGTACTCATCAAACTGGGCAAACTTGTCAGTCATGGCAGCACGGAGGCAGGCAGGCAGGGGCACCAGCTTCTTCTCATCCCCTTCTGCCAGGCTCTGTTGAGAAAAGAGGAGATCAGTAGGAGACCCAACCTCCCACCGCTAACACACACACATGCACACCATAACACAGGAGATCAGGAGAGACCCAACCTCCCACCGCTAACACACA